GGCCGGTGCCCGCGCACTACAAGTCCCACAAGGCCACGCTGTGAGGCCGTGAGCCGTCTTACCTGCCGCGGGCTCATTCCGTCTGCAACTACCGCTTTCCCCTCCCCCGTTCCCGTCGGGGTCCTTCCCATAGCTAAAGGCTACTTCTTCTTGAGGTCTTAGTGACCTCCACCTCTGAGCTCCTCGAGTACTCGCTTTTTCCGTCTCTGCCAGGATTATGCTTGACTCCCTCCCCGGGGCGGGTTGGTGGAGTCAGGAGAAAGAAGTCCTTACAAGCCAAAGCGGGGAAATCCGGGAATACTTCCGGCCCTTAGGCTCAGGAAGGTAGCGCGCAGGCGCTCGCTGCGACTCCGGCGCGGTTGACTTCCGCTCCCACTGTGCTCTGCGAGCCGAATCATGGATCACACTGGTAAGGAGGCGGAGGCAGTGGGGGTCCCGGTTTCATGCCCCCTTGGCTGGTCTGGGACTAGTGGCCCGGCGGGCAAAAGGGGTAACGCTCGCCCCACGGCACTGGGGTATGGTGGTGAAAAATAAATCCCACACACCCTTTCCTGTGCCCGGCGGGCCTGCTGCCTCTCGGCCTGCCCTTTAGTACGGTACCTCCATCCTCGGTGCCGGCAGCAGTCGCTGCTTCTCTGGTTCTGCTGAGTTCCGAGCACGGACCGTGGGCAGCGCAGGCTTCGTGGAAAGGGGAAAATGCTGGCTCTTTTTTTCCCCTCTATCCGACTGCTTTGTTCTACGTTATGGGGCACTGGCGGGTGGATTCCATTCTGAGTTGGAGAAGCCTTATTACGCGGGGAGTGGATGGGCGAAAGTGGGCTGGAGACTTTCCTGCTGTCTTAGCCAACCTTGGGTGGGGGCGGCCATGGTCACCTCTTGTGGTTATTGCCTCTTCAGTGTATCATGGACTAGAGGTTAGAGACCACAGAGTCGAATATAGTTTTCAAAATCGTAAATGGAGCAGCTTTTCTACTTAAGCCTTTCAAAGCATGGCCCGCGCTTTTGCTGTGGCCCTTTCTCATTTGGGAACGTTTACAAAGAAGACCTTAAAATGAAGACTATCTCATCCCTTTTCCCAAGTAGGACTGGCTTCAACCCTTCTTTGTGTTTCTTGGCTTCTCTTCCTTATAGTTCTTGTCTCTTAAGTGAATTTGCTGGAGTTAGTAAGTGCTTCAGACAGTTATATTGGCCGTAGCACAAGTAAGGAAGAAAGGTTTTATTTTCCTAAAGCATTGATTGGAATGTTTTCAGTCATCAGTTACTTAATTATATACCTGTGTGTGTATATATGCTTGTTTTTGCTAAATGTACACAGATACTTGTAGGCCTGCAGATGGAATGATGGAATGGTAAACAATAGGACTGAGTCTTTGTCCTCATGGAGCTTATATTCTTTGGAGAAGACTGTTAAAAAAAAATACATGTTGAGTGCTTTGAAGAATAACGGGTGCTGTGGAGTAGGAAGTTTCAGAGAAGGTAGTCAGGGAAGGTTTTTCCTGAACGGTATTAGTTAATCTGAGATCTGATGAGAAGAATCCGGCCAGGAAATAAAGAAGGGAGAGCATTTCCCTGAGGGGAAGTCAGTAGGGGACAGCCTATTGGTAAGAGGAAAAGAGCCTTAAGATGAGATTGGAAAGGTGTATATCTCGTTTTGGGCTTTGAAGAACTTTAAGTGGGTATAAAGCAATTCAGCAGAAATAAAGGAATATAATCTTTTAAACATAAAATGGACTATTACATGGAAAATGGTGTAAGAGAAGCAAGAACAATTGAAAATACACAGTTTAGGAGGTGGTTGTAGGAGACTGAAAGGGAGATCTGGTATGGTGATAAGGAAGAGAGGGGGGTTGTGTAGCTAGCTCAGAGGTAGATCTAGCGCTTGTATAGCACGCTCAAGGCGGTAGGTTCCACCCTCAGCACACACACACACACACACACACACACACACACACAAAGGCAGAGAAACAAACTGATGGAGTGGTTTGGAGGTATATGAGATAAATTAGAAATGCATGGGTTTCTGGTTTGAGCGTCTTGGTAGTGCCTACTGCTGAGTTGAGGAAGACTTAGGAGAAAACCAGATTATTTTAAAGGTGAGAGACAGGAGTTTGGGAACAAGAATTTGATTTTGGACTGCTACTATTTGTGAGATGTGTACTGAGATATATGAAGGGAGATATCGAGAAGATCAGAGGAACGATACATATGGAAAAGACATACATATACGGATGAGCTCACTTCAGGAGAGTGAGTCCAGAAGAGAGACAAGCACCAGGCTGTAAGGAGCTCCAGCTTTCCAGCTTTGGGAAATTTATGGAGTTGAGACTCTGGAATCTCGAAGGAAAAGTAGCAAACATTCCTTTTTAGCAAAGTATTTCACATTTATGTCTATTACTGGGTTTGGGAGTCATGTCCCTGTCAGTTTCAGGCTGATAGGCAATTTGAATATAGATGAATGCATGAAAGAGTATTTATTATCCTACTTCCTTTTTTTTTTTTGGGACCGGGGATTGAACTCGGGTCCTTGCGCTTGCAAGGCAGGCCACCGAAGCGCTGAGCTAAATCCCCGGCCCTATTCTACTTTCTAAGTTACAAACTTGTCTAAGGCAATAAATAGTACATGAAAATACTAATGAGCTGACCAGTTGAAAAATGAGTTTTGAGTCAGATATGTTTTTTGCTTAACATTAGCTTCTTTTCTATTTTTTTCATTTCTTTGAGGTAATTTCTTAATGTTTTATATAAAAAAGCTATCAGTTGCTGTGCATTGATTGTGATGAAAAATTACAAACCTTGCAAAAGATTCAGATTTTCATGAAGTTCATACACATGAATTTGATAACTATTTGAATCACAGGGCCATTGGCAGATGGCCAGTTGTCTCGTAAATTGAATATACTATGACAGGATGGGCATCGCAAAAGAACAATTTTATTATCAAAAGTTAAGTTCTTTGGGAAAATTAATGAAACCTTGAATATTGTGAAATGACCCATTTTATGATTAGACTTGACATTCAAATGTAAATTGAAGTGTTCCAATAGAATTTTACCAGAAAAATGTCACTTTGGGAACCTCCCAGTTAACAGTCGATTCCATTCTTTGGTCATTCTAAGAATTAGCACTTCTTTTGGGGGGGGAGTACTGGGGCTTGAACTCGGGACCTTGGGCTTGTGAGGCAGGCGGTAGCACCACTCAGTAAGTACAGCCCAAGAATTAGAAATTTTGTACTAAAACGTTTCTTGGTTTTTCTTTATTCAAGATAAAATCCTAAGTACATGTTTTAAAATTATACTACAAAAAGGCCATGCTCCTTAAATATGGATTCACCTTAAATGGCAGATAACCCTTAGTTCTCACTTTGTATATACTATACCAGGGACTTTGTAATGGGTTTTATGTTTTGCTACTATATATTCAAAATGAAATTGTGCCGTATGTTTTTCTTAATTTAAGCAAAAATCAGAAAGCTCTCAAATAAGCCCAGAGTATTGTCACAGTTAAATGCTGCACTTTATAATTTACAATCTTTAAAGCAAGCAGCAAAGTTTCAAGGGGAATCACGCCCTTAAAAGTGGTAGGTCGGTTATGTCAGCAACAATAGAGATCTCAGCTGTTCAGAGTGATGTGAGGAGGTATATGAGATAAATTAGAAATGCATGGGTTTCTGGTTTGAGCGTCTTGGTAGTGCCTACTGCTGAGTTGAGGAAGACTTAGGAGAAAACCAGATTATTTTAAAGGTGAGAGACAGGAGTTTGGGAACAAGAATTTGATTTTGGACTGCTACTATTTGTGAGATGTGTACTGAGATATATGAAGGGAGATATCGAGAAGATCAGAGGAACGATACATATGGAAAAGACATACATATACGGATGAGCTCACTTCAGGAGAGTGAGTCCAGAAGAGAGACAAGCACCAGGCTGTAAGGAGCTCCAGCTTTCCAGCTTTGGGAAATTTATGGAGTTGAGACTCTGGAATCTCGAAGGAAAAGTAGCAAACATTCCTTTTTAGCAAAGTATTTCACATTTATGTCTATTACTGGGTTTGGGAGTCATGTCCCTGTCAGTTTCAGGCTGATAGGCAATTTGAATATAGATGAATGCATGAAAGAGTATTTATTATCCTACTTCCTTTTTTTTTTTTTTGGTACCGGGATTGAACTCGGGTCCTTGCGCTTGCAAGGCAGGCCACCGAAGCGCTGAGCTAAATCCCCGGCCCTATTCTACTTTCTAAGTTACAAACTTGTCTAAGGCAATAAATAGTACATGAAAATACTAATGAGCTGACCAGTTGAAAAATGAGTTTTGAGTCAGATATGTTTTTTGCTTAACATTAGCTTCTTTTCTATTTTTTTCATTTCTTTGAGGTAATTTCTTAATGTTTTATATAAAAAAGCTATCAGTTGCTGTGCATTGATTGTGATGAAAAATTACAAACCTTGCAAAAGATTCAGATTTTCATGAAGTTCATAGACATGAATTTGATAACTATTTGAATCACAGGGCCATTGGCAGATGGCCAGTTGTCTCGTAAATTGAATATACTATGACAGGATGGGCATCGCAAAAGAACAATTTTATTATCAAAAGTTAAGTTCTTTGGGAAAATTAATGAAACCTTGAATATTGTGAAATGACCCATTTTATGATTAGACTTGACATTCAAATTTAAATTGAAGTGTTCCAATAGAATTTTACCAGAAAAATGTCACTTTGGGAACCTCCCAGTTAACAGTCGATTCCATTCTTTGGTCATTCTAAGAATTAGCACTTCTTTTGGGGGGGGAGTACTGGGGCTTGAACTCGGGACCTTGGGCTTGTGAGGCAGGCGGTAGCACCACTCAGTAAGTACAGCCCAAGAATTAGAAATTTTGTACTAAAACGTTTCTTGGTTTTTCTTTATTCAAGATAAAATCCTAAGTACATGTTTTAAAATTATACTACAAAAAGGCCATGCTCCTTAAATATGGATTCACCTTAAATGGCAGATAACCCTTAGTTCTCACTTTGTATATACTATACCAGGGACTTTGTAATGGGCTTTATGTTTTGCTACTATATATTCAAAATGAAATTGTGCCGTATGTTTTTCTTAATTTAAGCAAAAATCAGAAAGCTCTCAAATAAGCCCAGAGTATTGTCACAGTTAAATGCTGCACTTTATAATTTACAATCTTTAAAGCAAGCAGCAAAGTTTCAAGGGGAATCACGCCCTTAAAAGTGGTAGGTCGGTTATGTCAGCAACAATAGAGATCTCAGCTGTTCAGAGTGATGTGAATAGGACTTGCAGTGAAATGTTGGTGTTTTCATTCACAAAGGTAAAGCCATTGAAGATTCCTTTTAATATCTGAAGGACAAGATTAACTGGCTACAACAGTCTCTCTTTTTTAGTCAGAAATACTTTTTGAGCAAGAAAAAAGTCTTCTGTCATGTCTTTTGGCCGTTGCATTGCCTGTAAGTACTTCTATATAGATAAGCAAATGCAGTAAAAATAGATAATATATACTAATCAGTTTGTAAGTCCAGTTAGTGAAATGTTGAAAGCTGATCAAGTTTGGTTTATCCTAGTTCAAGATTGTACCTATCAGTGTAATTCCTTTTTCTTGCCCAGCCCCACACCCCCAGTACCGGTGATTTGAACCCTGAGGCATTTTGCATGCTCATGGCAAACACTGTACCAGTGAGATGCATCCCTTGTGATTTTTTTTTTTTTAAGATTAGCCATTATTTAAAAAAAAAAAAGGTTAGCCATTATAGGAGTAGTAGACTCAAAGATATGTAAAATCATCATTTAGAGCACATTTTGAATTTTATGCACAAAAAAATGAGAATGAATGAATTTAACAAGTGTCTGCAATACTTACAGTCTTTAGTACTAGTTTACTACTTTCTCATTTGTCTTAACTGAATTTCACATGGACAGTTTGGTTATCAGTTTGAAGTGTAATATTTCTTGCAGAGACAGCCATTTGGCTTTACACAGTAACGTGTTTGAAATGTTAGAAATAGAAAAAAATGTATTTTCTAGAGCATTTCCTTTTTTGTTTCTAGGTAGAGTTGAATATATTGTGTTATCTTTTCATATACTTGAAAAAAGATAACACTGAAGCTTTACATTAGTCAGTTCTATGAAATAATGCGTCTGCTTCTCATGGGACATGAGTTAATTTATTTCATAGATAGTAACACAATAGAAAGCATCAGTTTTTTAGACCTAGTTGAAATTAGAAATCTTGTATCCTCCAAAACTGTTTTATATTACAATGCTAAGAATAATTCAGTTACATGTGTCTCTAGAAATTTATAACATAAATGTACTATTGCCTATTTCTACTAAATGTACAATAATTTTATTACTTCTGAATGTACTTTATTTATTTATTTATTTATTTATTTATTTATTTATTTATTTATTTATTTATTTTTGGTGCCGGGGGTTGAACTCGGGTCCTTGCACTTGTGAGGCAGGCGGCAGAACCACTGAGCTAAATCCTAGCCCCAAAACATAGTTTTATTGTCATCTAGTTACTGACTACATGTGAGGATGGGTTTATTAATGAAATACTTGGCTATTTGTGTTCATCCATAAGTAGTTTTATGTAGAAAGAAATAAAAATATTTTGGTTATTTGTTAAATTATTATTCTCTATGAAAAATGGAAGTTCAAGCAAATACAAATAATAATTAGAAATGCAATTTGAATTATAATTTTGAACTCTAATGATTTTACATAAACTTGTGTTAATTATAGAGGTCCCCCATGTTCATTGAAGTTGATTAAAATCACTTGTTGACATGAGAATGCTCATACAATCAAAAGAAAGTGTGATATTTTAATTATTCACACCTGCAAACATTCAAAGAAAAACAACATAGTGATTTTTTTCAAATGCCATAAATAAATATACAACTTACATTCATCCTGAAATTTCAAAGAAGTATTCTGAACTTTCTTATATGAAATTTGAAAATAGATATTGTCCCCAAATTCTTTTTTTATAAAGAACACAAATGTCTTGGATCACAGATTTAAAAAAATAGCCCCTGAATGCATTTTAGAAAAATTATTTTACACTAAGGAGTAAATCACTTTCCTTAAAACTACCTGTATTTCAGATGCATTATATAATTTTGTGTTCATCAGGGTTAGTTTTGTTTCCAGTTTGGTTGTCCTGATGTAAATTTAATAAATAGATTTAGTAAATTTATTGAGTGCCTACTTTGCATGCTTGATGGTCAGACATAGAGGTAGGGATGGTTTGTTTCTTTTTCTTTAGTTTTTTAAAAAAGTCTCACAGTTACTTTAAGACAAATTCTTATTTTGGGTTTGTGAGGGTTTTTTATTTCTATAAAGTGTTCTGGAATTACAGAAAAATCTTATTGTTCACTTTCATAGGGAGAAGAAAAGAGTTTCTAACAGGAGCTAGTTATAATTCATTGCCTTGAAGTTTTATCCAAAATAGAATTAGCAGTTAAATTATATCATATTCAAAATCAGAACCAAGATTTTTAACACTTGATATTGTGGGTATATTGTTTTAATACCTGTGACAGAATAATCTTCAGAAAGAAAAACTGAAAGAAAATTTTATTTATTTATTCTTTCTAACATAGACAATGAGTTACAAGGCACTAATAGTTCTGGATCGTTGGGTGGTCTTGATGTTCGCAGACGAATTCCTATAAAACTCATCTCCAAACAAGCAAACAAAGTCAAACCTGCACCTCGAATTCAAAGGACTATAAACAGGATGCCTACAAAGGCTCCAACTGGTGATGAAGGTAATTTGTTTAAATTTACCAGCCCAACAATCTTTCTGTTTGATTGCACTAAATAATCCTTATGATTTTATCTGCTTGTAGCTACCTTTAAAAAAAAAAAAGTTTTTCATACTTTATCTATACTTCAAAAAGTTTTGTTTGACATCTCATTTTGGCATCTTTTACTTTTCCTACCTATATAAGTTTTCTATTACAAAAAACCCCAACTAAATAGTATTTTAGAAAGCATAACATTAAAAGTAAAATTAGCCCCTGTTCCCCACAATCCTTCCCTCTAAAGATACTCTGAGAAGACTTTCTAATATAGCAGTATTAATTTTTTATGTATAACTGTCTTTTCATGTAATCTGCATTTGATATTTTGCATTTCTTATCCGTATATATAGGTGTATGCTCAGTTTTTTAAAAATAGGGTTAGATATTTCATTTATAGGTATACCATAATTTATTGAACAAATTTTCTGGTTTTTTTGTTTTGTTTTGTTTTTTGTTTTTACTATACAGGCTATTATATATACTTTTTAGAATTGATACTTTGCAAAAATTTGGACATTTGATGCTATTGTATATTTTAGAATTTGTGGATCCTGTCAAATTGCTCTTCAAAAAAGATACATTAGTTTATATACCCACACATCAATATTTGGTATTACAAACAAAAAAAATTTTTGTTTCAGTTGGCTACTATATATTGTGTATCTTCTCTATTGGCCTTTTGCATTTTGTATATAAATTTTTTATTGTAAAGCGCTTGAAGATTATGTGTAGTCAGTTACTACTCTTTGCTGTTATGACTTTATAGTCTTAAAACATTTTTAAGGGCCAGGGATTTAACTCAGTGGTTCTGCCGCCTGCCTTGCAAGAACCTGAGTTTGATGCAAATGCAAGGACCCGAGTTTGATCCCTGGTAACAAAAAAAAAATTATTAAAAGGGTCTTCCATTAGGAGTTTGAAGCCAACCTGGGCTACATAGGGAGTTCAAGGTTAGCCTGAACTACATAGTGAGACAAACAAAAAGATCGTACTTTGTTCCATGAGCCCAAAACAGTTTTCCTATCTTACCTTTTAATACAAATCAGCAAACTATTACTTATGGGTCAAAACTGGCCCTGTTTTATAAATAAAATTACTGCACTACAGCCATGACCATTCATTTAAGTATTTTCTACAGCTGCTTGCTTTCATGCTATCATGGCAGAATCCTACAAAGCATGAAATATTTATTGTCTGAGCTTTTATAGAAAAAAATATGCTGTCCTCTGCTTTGGAACATTTATAGAGTTGTATTTGGCTTTTTAAAAATAAAAACAATGACCAAGGCCTTACTTTATTGTGTCTCAGCCACTGAGTAATCTGCTTTTTCCTTGCTGAAAAGGAATCTTGCCACTGACATATTCAAGTTCTAAAAGTCATTGTGCCTATTTCTAGACTTTTTATTCTATTTTAGGAATCTGTCTCTAGTTCTTTATTAGAATCAGACTGCTATAATGATAACTTTTTTTCTTTTTTTTTTTAGCTGCAGGGTTTTTCTCCCTAAACAAGTGTATTTGATGTTGGAGTGTTGTTAAATCACGGCAGTGAGACTGGGGTGCAGCTCTGTGATAGAGTATGTGTTTAGCCTATTTAAGTCCCCAGCGGTATTCTCAATTGTAAAGTAATAAAATTGGGCTAGATCATCATCAAGATTACTTCTGATATTTTAAGTTAATCTTAATTATCTTTTTCTTAGAAGAGCTTTGAAAGGCACCAGATAGACTTCTTAGTAAATAAGACTATTTTGTTATGTATATATTAATTCCAAGATGAAATTTGAGGTTTGAAAAGTTAATGGGTAATACTTTTTTTTTTTCCTCAGAAGGATTTGATTATAATGAAGAAGAACGGTATGACTGTAAAGGGGGCGAACTGTTTGGAAATCAACGAAGATTTCCTGGACATCTATTTTGGGACTTTAAGGTATAGCTAAAAATGAAAAATCAAGTATTAAATACTTGCAGTGCTGAATACATAAAGAATGGTATGAATTTTATTTTATCTGGTGTTTTCCCCATCATACATGAATCATTTCTTTTTTTTAAAATGCCCTGTTGCACTATTTCCAGAAATAATTTGAAGAAATTTTCAGTAAAATCATGTAAAATCTAGTAACCACTATTTAAGAAGAAAAAAATATAATCACAGTGCTCAGGGAAGCTGGGGCAAGATGATTACAAGTTTGAACCCAGCTCGGGCAACTTAGCAAGACCTTGTCTCAGAATTTTGGGGGCTTGGGGGTGGGTAGGGATGTAGCTCAGCGCAGAGGCCCTGCGTTCAGTCCCTAATTAATAATGCTCATAAATTTTTAACCATTTTTTAATTGTGTGAATTTTAGACAGTTTTAGAATTGCTTAGGAGGAAATTTTAATTGTATCATTTCAACAGATAAACATCTTAGGTGAAAAGGATGATACACCAGTTCATTTCTGTGACAAATGTGGCCTGCCTATTAAAATCTATGGGCGAATGGTAAGTATTAATAAATTAAACCCTGTTTTTGTAAATGTAAGCATTTGTGTAGAAGATTCTGAAATTTAAGTAGAGATTTATCATTGTTTAATAACTAAGTTTGCAATATGTTTAAGTATGACATAGGTAAAGGATTTTTTTTTAAATACTCTGAATTTAATGTAATTGTTATTTTACTGCTATGGAATAGTTTCAGGATAGGATGAGACAGAACATTTTTGAGTGTGTTTCAGGAGCTTTTAACATCTTGGAACTATGGTTGAAATTTATAGGGTTTATTCCTCCAGAAAGTGTAAGCAGATGTACATACATTTATTGGGAAGAGGGCCAAAGTTTTCAACACATTCTCAAAAGGCTTTGTGAGCAAAAAAGGTTAACTATTGCTTTTACATAGTTAGTACTTAATAAATGTTTATTTTAAGATTTCACATGTGCCTTCTATGTGTAGGTCATTTTATGTTTACTGTTTTTTATGGAAATATAAATTATTCCAATTGTTAACTATCAATGTATTAATTATGCTGTCTTTGTTCACAGATTCCATGCAAACATGTTTTTTGCTATGACTGTGCTATTTTACATGAAAAAAAGGGAGATAAAATGTGTCCAGGGTAAGATAAGGTCATCTTTATATTTTTAAGTAGTAGAGTTAGGAGTTAAATGATTTATAAACTGCATTAAAGATTAGGATGTGATGTAAATCAGGCAAAGGATCAAATGTATAGACATAGGAAAGGTATCTGTGTGAGCCCGGAGTTAGCGTTAGACTTCTTAAAATAGGATGAGCCACCCACTTTCAGTCAATTCAAATTGGCCAAAATGATGCAGTCCACTTGGCATCATAGAGTTGGTATTATAAGCCAAAACTGATTATTATTGTAAAACTGTTATTTTCAATGGTTTGTTGTAGAGGTAGTGCGGTGTAATGATTGAGAATATAGACTCTAGAATTGGAATCCTTGAGTTCAAATCCTTGTCCTGCCATTTAACTGTGTGACATAGGTTAGTTTTAGGGTTTTGTTTTGTTTTTTTTCCCGTGTTGTTAATTTCTAAAATGGGGCTAATAATTGTATCTCTGTCCCTGGGTTAATTTTAGTAGTAAGTGAAGATAGATGATTGATAAATAGGTAGCTAGATAGGACCTGATATATAATAAGCACTATGTATTACATCTAGATGTTATAAGTACATTTGGAGCATGTCTTGGGATGTCAAAATGACACTGATTCAAATTATGAGGAATTAATCCTTCTTGGAATGGTCTTGAAGTGTCTAAAGTAGGAATTTTTATATTTATTTAGAACCCCTGGTAAGGGAGGCTTTGGAAAGACTTATAGAAGCTTCTTTGGAACAGCCATAGGCTTCCTAGATTCCTTATAACCTGTGCTTGAAGCTGCCTCAAGACTTATAGTATTATTTGCTATGAACAGTTACAGGGTATGATCCCCCCAACCCCCTCAATTTTTTAAAGAATTTAGGATTAAACCCAAAGTTCTGTGACTGACAGGCAAGTGCTCTATCACTGAGCTAGAGGCCCCCAGCCTGGATGATAAAGAAACATTATAAAACATGATACTATGGGTTTAAACAGTGTTTATTGTGTAGAATTATAATTCAGAAGAGTTACAAAGTTAGAAATACTTTGTTTTTTGGATATTTTCTGTAATGCCTAGTTTTCTAAGTCAGTGTCTATTCACTTTAATAAATTTGATTTCTTCATTGGCAGAAAGGATTTCAGATGTGATAAAATATTATGTAGGAAACCCTAGAATATTTTCTTTTACATGAATGTTGTAATGGTAATATTTAAAAGGACATTTAGTTTTCAAGACATGAATGTTGTTTCATTAAGCCACTTATCTATATGGTCCTCAGCTGTTTTAGGACAGAAGCCTACTTTGATTAACAGACCCAGATCAGGAAATGAGGAAATGGCAACCAAAGATAATGGAAATACTGTATGCTATTGCTATTAGTCAGCACACAAATGTTAACTTGGATCATGTTTTTCAGTTTATGCAGCAGAGTTGAAGCAAAAATGAGATGTCTGCCAATAAAGGGAAATATACCAGCGTCAACAAGTGCCAGCCTTATAGCGGGGGGGGGGATAGACATAATTTAAAATAAATAGTACAGAACCATTTAATACAGTATCAAATGACCTGACACATATTCAGTGGTGATAGCTTACCTCTCTACCTATGTAATGTTTAACTGGTGTTTAAATATGTCACTTTTATTGTTTCATTTAATCTTAAGAATACTCTTGCAAGTAAGATGAAATAGCTGTAAAAACATTGTGGGTTAGGTAGAGTACATATTTTAACCCCATTGTACAAATGAGAAAGCAAACTCAAAGTGGTTAAATGACTTTCAAATTACAGAGCCAATGTGATAAGAGCCCATGTCTTTGGATTTCAAGTTCAGTCCCCTTTCCACTACGTCAGAAGATTTTAAAGGCAAGAATGGATTAAATATAAATGAAGAGTCATTAAGTCATTAAGAAAGTATTGGATTAAATTTAGTGCTCTCAATTTTGACAGGCAGAAAAATGTATCATTTTTTAGTAGTAAAATTGTCTGAAAATCCAGAAAAACTCTCAACAGACACTGAATTGAAGTTTTTTTGTTAAGAACCTCAGTAATCAGGAAGATCCTTCTCTTTGTAGTCCTTGCATGCATCTTCCACTTACTGTCTTCCACTTAGTATTTGCTCAACAAATACTATTCACTAATGCTGTATAGGTTTGAATTGTTTGTAAGGGGCAGATTCTTGCTTTATCCATCTTGGATTTCTTTCCCTAGTAAAAATGGATACAAAGCACACAGTTATCTGGGAAATGCAGATAAATTCTAGGTCTTGGCAGACATACTCTGATAATACGATTCAGAGTTCTGAAGTTGGCAGAAATGCCGTTGATTAGTGGCTAAGACTAAACAATGAATATGATTTTAGGTTCACTTGGAGTAACTACCTTTTAATTGTGAACTTTTGCTGTATGCTATATAAAAATTTAAAGTAGCCATATTTTGAAAAAGAAATACATTCTGTTTTTAGTAAATCAAATTTTTTTCTTCTTCTAATTTAGCTGTAGTGATCCTGTGCAGCGAATTGAACAGTGTACACGAGGTTCTCTCTTCATGTGTAGCATTGTTCAAGGGTGCAAGAGAACTTACTTGTCTCAGAGAGACTTACAGGCTCATATCAACCATCGCCACATGAGAGCTGGAAAACCTGTTACCCGGGCTTCGCTTGAAAATGTTCATCCTCCTATTGCCCCACCACCAGCTGAAATCCCTGAGCGTTTTATAATGCCACCAGACAAGCATCATATGAGCCATATTCCTCCAAAGCAGCACATCATGATGCCACCTCCTCCTTTGCAGCATGTGCCACATGAGCACTATAATCAGCCACATGAGGATATTCGTGCTCCTCCAGCAGAATTGTCCATGGCTCCACCACCACCTCGTTCGGTCAGTCAGGAAACCTTTCGTATTTCAACAAGAAAACACAGCAATTTAATAACCGTCCCTATTCAGGATGACTCAAATTCAGGTGCTAGAGAACCACCTCCTCCTGCCCCAGCACCTGCTCACCATCATCCTGAATATCAGGGTCAACCAGTGGTATCTCACCCTCATCATATTATGCCTCCACAGCAACATTATGCACCACCACCCCCTCCTCCACCACCAATAAGCCATCCAATGCCACATCCTCCCCAGGCTGCAGGTACTCCTCATTTGGTATATAGCCAAGCTCCACCTCCACCAATGACCTCTGCTCCACCACCAATAACCCCTCCCCCAGGACATATTATTGCCCAGATGCCACCTTATATGAATCATCCTCCTCCAGGACCTCCCCCACCTCAACATGCTGGTCCACCTGTAACTGCACCCCCTCCTCACCATTATAATCCTAACTCTTTACCCCAGTTTACTGAAGATCAAGGAACTCTCAGCCCTCCATTTACACAACCAGGGGGAATGAGTCCTGGTATATGGCCTGCACCAAGAGGGCCACCTCCTCCTCCACGAATGCAGGGTCCGCCTTCTCAAACCCCACTTCCTGGACCACATCATCCAGATCAGACAAGATATAGACCGTATTATCAATGATAATAGTGTTCTGAACTGAAGACATGAGGAAAAAAACTTACTTATAGTCAGTCTTTTCATTAAGCTTTGACTTTTGGGAAGGAAAAGTACCTCTTACCAAGGTGGCTATAAAACACATAGGGTCTATTGTTTTGTAAAATGGTTTTCAATCTTGACCTTAGGATTGATTTCAAGCACTATACTGTAGTGCAGCTAAGTGGCTTGATTGAGCACAGCTATATTTTAACAGCTTTATTCCCCCAGTGTGGTAAATTGACTCAGAAATGACCATTTGTAAAATGAAAAATTTTCATTGTTCCACTTTCAAAAGTATTGGGTAAACCCAATGTTTAGTTTTTCTTGTGATGCATTTTGTTAACCTGTGTAAAAACATTAGATTTCAATGTGGTTGTAAAAAATGCTATTTTTATGTGAACTTAAAAGTGCAGCCGCATACTGTTTTTTAAAATCACGTTTTACCACTAATTTCCCAAAGTTATAATAAAATCCTAAAAGTAGAATTTGCTGTAAAGCAGACTGTTAAATGATAGATTATATCGCATTTTAGGCACTGAAATTTTGAGGTACAGTAAATATATAATACATTTCACTGGGATGCCTTTTTCATTTAGGCAGCCTTAGGAACACCAAAATACATTAGAATTCCAGGACTAAGATGTTGGTGATATTACAAAGCATTCTGATTATTTGGGAAGAAACAGCCAAAGTAATACTGTACAGGCTCCAAGCAGGGGCGGGGGGAGGGGGTGCTGTTACTCATTGCTTTTTTATTGAATGGTTGGAATCACATGATGCACCACACTTACTAATCTTACATAACATTATTCTATAGAACTGTTCAAATGGTGTGTTTAGCTGAAATATTTTCTCTGTTCATTGTCTTTAAATAGGGCTGATAGGCTTTATGTAAATCCTCATTTCATGGTAGTTTTAATTTTATACTTATGTGGGTTCTCGTTTATTGGGTTTTAAACTAAAATTGAAATGGTTTGGAGGAGTTTGAATAATGTATTAATGAAGAGTTGTAATCATAAACTAGCATTTGCTCAGGTTTCATTGTTTGTGTGAAGGGTTTTTCCTGTAATTTGAAATTTTAAAAGTATTTCCCGTTCCTTTTGTGGGTCAGGCATTCTAAAATTGTAACATTTTAGCATGGCATCAGCAGTGATGACTACCATATAATGTTAGATTGGAAGAGAAAAGTAATGACTAAATTGTGAATTTTAGTGCTTTATAGGTGCCTTTAGAGTCGGCTTTTGCATTATAGGGGCTTGTTACATTCCGGCTAAGGTGACCACTTACAGTTTATACAGATCTCATGTATAAATCAACATTGGGATATTATTATACATCCTTTGAGTAAACTCCTTTGAACTTTTCCTCCCTCCTAAAATGGTGCATAATATAAACAAGACATGTAGTATGCAGATATCATTGATTAGGTAGTTTGTAGTATATAAATTTAGAACATCTTTTTCAACAAAGGGTGAACTATTTGCTAGTTTTCCATTTTCTGTCAGGTACAGGCAAAACATTTTCATTTTGGATGATCAGATGCACAACTTTCTAAATTTAGAAGTTAAAAATAATATAAATGGCCATTTCACTCTTGACTGGCCAAAAATAAGTAATACACTTTTTTCTTGTGATTTTTCACACTTAGCAGTTTGAGAGACTAGTCTGTTAATGCACTATTTCTAGTGAGAAATTCTTGTTATTACGAGCATGAGAGTGAAATAGTGTGAAGTGTTGGTGGTGAGTGCTTCTATCATATTACTGTAGGTACTTGGACTGGTGCAAACTTGATTCCTTTTCATGCCCCTGTTTGGGAGCTGTTAAAATTTTACTGTTAAAAATCCAAAACCATTCTTTTTCATATAATTAGAAAATAGCCAAATTCACTTTAGAGCTTCTCAGCTATTTATGAAGAGCTCTTCTGCTTTTATTGAAATTCACTAGCATTAAATGTAGTAAGAAACCACCTAGCCTGTGTTATGGACAAAAAAATCAGTATCATGATAAAATTGCATATGTTAAGAGAATTCCTATAGACTTAAAAGTGATTTAAGTTAGGTTTAATAGACATATTATACAGGGAGGCAGATTGGATGAATGTCTTGTAGCAGACAAAAGTTTTTAAGCGGTGTTAGACTTGAATTCATCAGTTAATTGTTTGAACGAGGGTGGGTGGGTAGAAGGAAAACAAAATTACTGTTAGTGTTTCTTAAGGAAAAGATGTGAATCCCAGCCTTATTTCAGGGAAACCTTTGAAGCTATGATGGACATAAGTCTAAATGTATGTATGTTTCATTATATTGCTCTTAAGACTACTGAGGTGGCAGTTTAATTCTTAAAAACAATAAAATGGAAGCATAAATACTATTTTGCCTAGATGAATTTTTACGTAATGATACATTTGGGACAATGCAAGATTTTTGATGTTTATGATAAAGCTTTCTACAGTAAAATTAGATTCATTAAAAAAAACCCAGCAAGTTGAATATTATATTTCTTTGATGGTATGTTTGTTCAGAATATAATCAGTGTTTGGGGAAAGATCCTTTGCAAGGACTAGAACAATATTCATTTTGCCCTGTAAAAACCACTTGCTGAAATTTGTTTAAATACTGTAACAAATAGAAATATATTTGATCATATTTTTAAAAACTATGGAAAGTGGCTATTCACTATGAAGTATACAGAGCTACTTTAAAGTTTTATTCAGGCCCATTGAATATATTTCATCTTTTTTGAAATGCTCTGTAGTCTTGCCTTTAAAAAAACAATCTTACAAGTATGTGAAAAACTTAAGTATCTAAAGCAAAAACATTTCTCAGATTACCTGTCGGATTATTGTAGATTGATGTTAAGTATAGATTGAAGTGACAAAATCACATCCATACTTCATCTTTTTTTATCTTACTGAGTTTATTGGTACTTTTTAAGGATACAGTACGGTTACATTCATCATTAGGATCTTGTACCTTTACATGACAGATCTTGGTTCTCATTTTTTCCCCTTACCCCTGCCCATTTTTCCTTTTCTCATATTCTTTCTTGTCTCTTTATTTCCTTTCCCCTACCCTTCCCACTTCCCCTACACCTTTAGCCCTTTTCTTCCTATTTCACATTATCAGTTATACAATTTGGATCTTATTTACACTTAGTTTTTCATACCAGAGAAACTATTTGGTATTTACATGTGTCATACTTTATCTTGATTAAAGTTAACTTATTTTTGTTTACTGATTTGTAACCAGTTTGTTAGAATATGGTTTAGAAATCAAGCAGAATTGTTAAAATAGCTGTACAATCTAATAAAAATATTGGATATGCTCACCCCAGAACAGGAGTTTGGAGTAAGCCAGATAAAAATACATAGTGATGCTAAAAATACATAGTGATGCTATTAATAAAAACTAATTTGGCTTTTTTGGTGGTGGTAGTGGGGTTTGAGACAGGGTTGCACTGGCCCTGAACTGCAGTGACCCTCCTGCCTCGGACTCCTGGCTGCTAGGATCTCAGGTGTGTGCCACTGCACCTGGGTTCTGATTTGGATATTTAAACACCTGTTTTAATTCATGGCCCTTCAGTTAATCATCATGAGAAAAAAATGCTTTAGGGCAAAATACATTTTATTGCCAAATTTTCCACATCTTTCTATCTTTAAAAAGTATGGGTTTTTAGACATTACAGAGGCAGGGGATTGAAATGAACACTAAGCTGTGGGTGTGTTTCTCCTACAGGACCATCTTTTTGCGGATTCATTCATTCTAAAATGTTATTCTGTGACTGAGAATATCCTAATTCTCTCTTATGCACTGTTGTAAATACCATATTGCATTTAAGACAATTTTCCATTACTCTGCCTTTAAAATTCTTTGTCTTCAGGTAGAAAAATGTTCCCTTTTATTTTGCTTCTGAGTACTTTCAGAATCTTTTTGTTTTCTTTTCTTTTAAAATTTGTACTCATTTTCAGTTACCCAAGTATGAAGTTTTGTGGAAAAAAAATGTAATATTACAAATAAAGGTTAAGATCTCAGCCACCATCCCATTGAGTTCCTCACAACTTTGATCTGTGTATCTGTTTTAGTTACAAACTGACAACTTGGTAGGTTCTGTGCCGTAATAAGCATCCTAATCCGTACTAAATGTAGTATTTCATGGCCTGTATTCATTAGACTCTGAGCTATTGTCTAGAATATAAAGGTTCATTCATTCAAAATATTTGTGTTTTAGAGACAGTGCTAAGCACTTACTTAGAATACACAGACTAGAGATAAAATAATCCTAAATAATGCTATACCATGTTTACAAGTGAAAATCCTATGGAAAAAAGGAAGAATCCGTGTAGTAGCACTTTGTCATTGTAAGTGGGAGAGGGGAACATCTGAGCAAAGATACCAAATAGGTAAAAACCACAAACATTGAGCAGAGCTTTCTAAGCAGAATGCATGGCCTGTAAAGGCCTTAGGTGGGACTGCATATTTGAGAACTAGCAGATGAGTGAAATGAGGTGAGAATGAAGAGCTGGAGGCTTAGCTTAGTGGTAGAGCCCTTGACCAGCACGCCTGGAGTCTTGGGTTTAATCACCAGACACAATAAAAATAAAAAGTAGTGCAACAGGGAAGTCATAGATCTAGGCATCATAAGACCTTTGACTTTACTCTCGTAGACATGGGAAGCCATTTGTGACATTCTGAATGAAGGATTGGAATAATCACTGCAAAAGGATTTATTCTGGTTTTGTGTTGGAGGCGAAGGTGGATGTAGAGAAGTCAGAAAGGTGTTTTCATTAGATCATAGTGGTAGCATTGAAGTATTAAGTAGGTGATGTGTGGGAGGATAGACATGCACAGGAAATTATGTTAGATGTGGGTGTGTAAAAACAGGTATGATCATTGCCCTTTACTAGCTTACATTTTTTCCTCCCATTAAAAAATAATTATTAAAGCGTATTCATTGTACACATTAGTGGGTTTAACCGTGACATTTCCATACATATGTATATTGTGCTTTGAGCATATCTACCCTCCCTAGTACTCTCTTCGCCTATCCTTTTTCTTCCTTTCCCCTGGTCTCCTTCCCTAATAGTTACTTTCAGCTCATTTAAGTTTTCACTTAGGACAGAAAATAGGCCATACTTGTCTTTCTGTGTTAGGCTTTTGTTTGCTTACCATGATGTCCTCCAGTTGCCTCCATTTTCCTTGTATATCTGTTTTTTCTGAAAGATTTGGAAAATTTTAAACTATTATTTCATTGAATAAGCTTTTTCTACTTTTAGCCTGTCGTTCAACTCTTTCATTTATTCTGATTATACAGATTTCATCTCTTTCCTGGTGTCTTTTGGATTTTGTGCTCCGTTTATTCCAATTTTTTTCCTTTACTGTCTGAATTTGATAATTCATCAACATTGTCTTCAAGTCCTGTTCCCTTTTATCCTGCTTGTTCCAGTCTATTGGTGAGGCTTTCAACTGAGTTTTTTTTGTTTGGTTGGTTGGTTTTGTTTTGTTTTTTACTTATTGAGCTTTTCATTTTCATGATTTGTTTTTTGTGCTTTTTCAAAATCTGTCTCTTAATTGAATTGCTCTTTCATATCCTGCATTGTGTTCCTTAATTTATTCATCTGTTTATTTGTATCTTCTTTGAATTCATTGGTCATTCTTTTGAATTATTTGTCCATCATTTCATCCTCTTTGACATTACTGCAGTCACTGGAGTAGTATGAAGTTTTAGGACTGTCACGTTGCTTTGTTTTTTTAATGTTTCTTGTAGTATGTTGAGATTTGTGTATGTGTTAGGAGGGATATCACTTTCAGAAACATTTGTATTAGGATCTTCTTAGCAGCCTTGGTGATGTGCTGTGGGATATTGATTTGTTTTGTAATGTTGAAATGAATTTGAAGTAGATTTTATATATTAGTTTCCCTGTAGGTTTTTTGACTATGCTGAATGGGTTTTGAAACAGGGTGTACTGTGCTGTGGCTTGAAGGGCCCATGCTTTCTGTAGATCTTGTGGGAGTGGAGTTCTCTGGTAGTTCAGAGGGGTGTGCTGTAGACAGCATCCGTAGTATGGGATGTGGTTATTCCTCCAGTCCTGTCAGCAGTGTGTGATCTAAAAGGTATGGAAGTGGCCTATGCTGAGATCCCTCATGGGTTTAGTGTATACAACACTTGTGTTAGTTCTCTCTGCTGTTGCTGAGGGAATGACTGTCCAGGAACACGGCATCAGCTCCCCCAGCTGTGACTATAGGGAACTATGTTGTCAGTTGGAAGTGTTCTTGCCCCTGTTCTGTAAGTTGAAGTGTCTGCCAGGGTTCAAGAAGCCCTAGGTTGTGGCTAGAATAAATGCAATTTCAACTGGGCTGGGCTGTACATAGCTCAAGTCGCAAAGCACCTGCCCTTGTGCCTGCGGTGCCCAGCTCCATCACCATCACCAAATAGAAAGATGAAAACCATAACATAAAAGCAAAACCGGGTATAGAAGTATAGTAAAAAAATGGCAGCACCAATAACAATAGAAAATAAAGAATAATATAGAATAAAATTAAAGGCTAAAAATGATTACATTTTACAAGAACATGAATGAGGAAAGTAAAAGAGGGAAAGGAAGAGGAAATAAAATTTTAAAAAGGAAAAAATTGGGAAGAAGAGAAAAAATCCAATTAAAGAATAAAAGAAAGAAAAAAAATAAGTAATGAGAAATAAATCAAAAATTTCTCCCAGCTGAGGTGTTTGGGCTGGAGACCCTTGTTTCCAGGGCATCTAATGTTGGCATCAACCAGGTATGGAGGGGGAGTGGGCTGCAGCAGAAACCAATTGTTGGTCCTCTCAGCTCCCCCTGGCATTCTTTGTCTGGTGGATTAGTGGGATGCTGACCATGGCAGGGCTGTGATCTCTCAAGGCTTTTTGTGTGTGCACCAGAGGACATGGCATACGTCCAGGCTGTGTTGTGTCCCTGGAAACAATCAAACCACTGAGTTCTGCACCGGAGGGATGGCTGCAGAGCCAAATGAATTGCCAGCTTTGATCTTGTCACCCTCAGACCCGGCCCCATGTGAAGCCATGAGATGACTAGTCTCATCCTTCCTCACAGAGATCAGGACCATGGACCACAGCCCTCCAGTCCCCTCCAGTCCTCTCCCAGTCCCAGCTTGCTCTCCACTGCTCAAACCTGTCAGTGCAATAGTGACTGATAATTCCTCCACCCATAACTTCCTCATGAGGCCACCTTCCCCCAAGTCCTGCAGTGGGATGACCCTGTGGCCCCTGGATTGTGATTGTTCTGTGTTTACTGATACCCTCACGATGGCTTCTAGGTTATGGCAAAGTGCTTGCTAAACCATGTACAATAATGAATCTCTGAAGCGTGCTTGTCTCAGAGCACATCCACAAAGTGGATAGAAAGCTGGTCAGAACCATGGGGTTTGTCCTGCAGTTAGGACTGGTGTGGGGTGGACTTGCTGTTGTCATCAGAGTTATCTGTACTCTCCAGCATACTTATGCTTACAGTGTTGGGTTCCCCACCTGCCTGGAGTCATTTTCTCTACACAGATTTCTCCCACTATGTAACTTAGAGTAATTATTCACCCTTTGTGAGTCAGTCTTACTTTGATTTCCTAAAAAGTGGGGGTAATCATAGCACCTACATTATGAGGGCTATTATGAGATGTTTTATATATTATAGTTAATAGGATTTCTGGACTTTTTTTTTTTCAAAGTAATCTGAAGAATGGAGTTGTCATTCAT